TCATCATATGAAAGCCCCCACATGCAGCGAACGAGATGGTCTGAGCCTGGTCACTGGTGACCGCACAGCAATAAAATGGTCACATACTGTCAATTAATCAACACCTGAGATCTGAAGCTCAGCCAAGCACAATCAGGAAGAGAATGTTAAAAGACTAAGACAAAGAGCCCCCGTATAGACATAACAGACTGTTGGGGCAAGTGCTGTTAGCGAGCACCTATGAAGCCCAACACGGTGCCAGCACCGCGCCCCGACCGCCTTTGTCTCTCCAGTGGCGATGTTTACACACCATGCCAGCTCCTCATTTGAGGCTGCGTCGACCCAGAACCGGTTCGGGTAATCGTCAGCGGTGTTGACCGTGAGCAGGAATCGAACTCTGGTTGCCGGGTTCGTAGCGCAGCGCGCTAAGCACTGCACCGCGTCTCACCATGGTCACACAGGGCACACGCAGCCATCGGAGCATCGGACGCATCGCCCAACATTTTGCCTTAGAACACAGGTTGGGGGGAAGATGCGTCTTACAATCCGGAGAAAATTGGGCTGTAAGGTTGGCACGCTGAGTTCGTGGGCATCGTTCAGACAGTAAAAAAAGGGCCCTTTTGCTCGTCCAAAACACAAAAGTGAGCTTTCGCTTTAAAGCTTTCGTGACTGCAAGAATTCATATTCTTGGTTCTTTCGGTAAACTCACGTAGAATGAGAATTTAAACAATAAAACAAAAATAAGACAATTAAATTCTCACGACGTTTCGGCCACAACACAAGGCTACACAAGGCTACTTGTGCTGTGGCCGAAACGTTGTAAGAATTAAATTGTCTTATTTTTGTTTTATTGTTTTATTCTCATTCTACGAGAGTTTACCGAAAGAACCAAGGAGACAAAAGTGAGAATCAAAAAAAGGGGACACTTTGAAAAAAAAAATCGCAAGCATTTCACTTCACGAAAATGCACAGACTCTCCCAGGTAACAACACATTTATCTTATCGTTTCGACACTTGCAGCGGCTTCCAAATTCGTCACGCGATGCATGCTTCCCTGAGAGAAGACTGGCACGTCAAATTCGGTGCCAATGCTGTAACGCTCACTCAGACGCTGCCAAAGGTGGTGTAATGTTTAGCAGCAGCACTTGGACTTGAAATCCAACGGTCGCCATTCCATTCTTTCAGGCACAGCAGATAAAAATTAATGTGCCGAGCACAGGAATTGCTTATCCATTCATAGCACGATACTGCTGGCACGAATACTGATATATTATTATCATACAATCGTGTGATATTTTTTAAACATTGGTGTAAGTTTCATAAATCCCCCCGCCTCTGTCCGCCCAGCAAGTACAATTGGGTTACACCACAGTTACTTTATCAGCAAGTCACGTATGGTGGGGTAAAGTTTCGTGTGTTTCCTTTGCTGTCCTTCACCCCCACACCTCTGATGCTTCTTACAAAAAAAACGTATTGCCAGGGTGGAAGATTAGGCCAAAGCACCCTCTGGGGGGCCCCTCTAACGGAGGCCCTACCGCCAGCAATCACGTGAGCGGGACATTGCAGGTCTACACCTGTACACATTCGTTTTACCTTTGACTTTCACAGCGGAGGCAGATATCACACTGAGAACGAATGCTCCATGTGCATGGGCGAGGGGATCGTAAGATTTACAGCATGCTGACACCACACGGCCAATCGATGGGAATGAGTTTCTGGGCGCGTAAATTTCTTCCTCGAGTCAAATTTTAATTCTGAGCCGCCAGGATTTCCGAGCCAATATTTTTGATAGCGGGATCTTATCATACGCAGCCTCCTGTGCTCCCCCCCCCCCCCCCTTCCTTAAATGATCTTCTTCCAACCCTAACCCTCTGTGACAAAACTCCAGAGGCATTTTTTAAAAACCCAATAAAAATAACAGACGGCACGTTTTGATTTGATGAGCAACAGTTTAAACACAATTCAATGGAAAGCACAGAGCTGCCCTTTCTTTCGTTTGAAATTTCACTTTAAATGCGCTGGAATGCGTAAGTGTAATTAAAATTCAAGCCCTTGACAGAAGTACTGGAGTAATATGTTGAGGAAATTAATGCAACTAGCAGGCACGCCGACTGTCAAATGCGAGGCATGTGCGTTATTATGTAATTTTCGCAAATTTAATTTGCTTGAGGCAACATCATTACTAACAATGTGTTAGTAATGATGTTGCGAAATAAAACCGAGTCCACCACTTAAAGCAATTAACTTATTAGGACGTCGAAACGATTGCAGTTTGCAGTCACAACAACGACGATGATAAACAACAACAACAACAACGGGGTTTTACAATCATGCGTCTGGAATGAACCTTGTAGCTAGGGTTGAGTTAGCCCTTCATCATCTCAAGTCACTGAACCGAGGACCCACTTTACAACTCACACCACTCGCGATGAAGCCACCTGTGAATGTGGCACCGATAAAATGGCACCTTCCGTAGGAAAATGCGAAACTCCCACCACTGGCTCAAAAATCACCAGCTAGTTTGATCTGTTGCCCAACATTTATTTGAGCACGGTGAAACTTCTGACATTCGGGTTGTCATGACACGCGTGTACCGATACACATTGCCTCCCAACTGCAATCATAACTAAACATTGCACCCCTTTATCAATCTGCTGAAGGCGTCCTCTGCATGCGATGTCAGTTATCGGGGTTGTTTGTCCATACTTCACCAAGCTGCTCAGTGTGGGTGGACCCAGGAGCAGTTCAGATATCACTTGCCGCTGATGCTCACCGTGGCTGGAAATATGATTTGGTGCGCTGACCACTGTGTCACCACTCCCCCCTTCCATGTGTATACAATGGAGGTCAAACAGCCAGGACTGTCCGAGGCAAATACGGTGTCAGGCAAGGTGTGAATCATATTTTGGGAGACAGTGTTGTCCGTTCTGTGCTTTGCCATTAAAAGCCTACACAACGTTTGCATTGTAAAAAAATAAACCTATTTAAACTAACTATTATTTTACACACTGAGCTATATAGCTCTTCATCAAGAGCGACCTGGACCACATTCGATGGCCCAACAAAGCGGCTTTATCATCACGTGGAAATGTGTAGCAGCCAAATACTCTAAAACGCGTGATGTTGATTCGAATTGTGGAGGGAAAAACCGGAGGACCCGGGGAAAAATCCACGCGACCACGTGGAGATAGAACACGCAAACTTCAAATATACAGCAGGTGTCAGGGTCGGGATCGAACCCACGACCCTCCTGTATACCAAGCGAGGTAGTTAACATCTTGCCACCGCGCCTCCCTAATTGATTTTGATTATATTGACTAATAAAATGACGCCTGCATATTATATCCCGCACCACATTTACAACTGGATTTAGCATCCAGGAAATCTTCAACGAGTGAAGAGACTGTTTGAGGATGCTGCTTGCAATTGGATGTTTGGCCAATTCAATTAAATGTCTCCCTTCCATGTGGCGAGGAAGCTTGATTTCTCAGGGAAATCCTACACGGATGAGGGGGATAACACTCAAACGGCCTAAACAGATGGGTTAAAAAAAAAAACTTTGTTATGGTGCCATCACAACGTCCTCGCCACCACGACACACCAGCGAGGGGCTCTGGGAACTTTTTTTGCAAATCGACGAGATCCAAAAACATTCCAAAGATGCTCCATTTTTCTCGTCAGGTGGAGCGGTCACGTGAGGGGGGTAGGGGGGGTACATGGGGCAGTCACGTGGGGAGGTCACGTGAGGGGGTGACGTGCGGGTTTCACGGTGGTTGTGCTGTTTTTTTGGCTTTGAATGTATACAACTGCATGAGTGCCCTGCGTACGCAAGGAACCCGGGCCACTTTTGCAATTTGTTTTTCCAGTTTAAAGTAAAGTTCAGTAAAAAAAAAGTTTAAAAAAATGAACAGCCGGAGAGTCGGCAGGTGGCCTGCGAGCTGTGGCTCAGCCATCCCCCGTTCTATGCCTTCACTTGGAGGTCATTCCCCACGTCTGATAATCTCGTCTGGTGGACATCCATGGGAGTTTCACAGAGAAAACAACCGTTCGCCCGTGTGGCTTAGCACCAACAGCACCAAGGAGGCAGTTTGGAAATCAAATCTAAAGGTGGAGCCCTGAAATGCCTTGCTCACGCCACTGCTGGTGGTAGAGTCTCTAATAGAATGAATTCTAGAAAGCCCTCTAGAGCAGCGGTCCCCAACCTTTTTGGCACCATGGACCGGTTTCGTGGAAGACAATTATTTCACGGACCGGCGGGGTGGGGGCGGGTTCATCACGGACCGGGGGGGCGGGGGGGGTTCACCATTGGGTCTTTCCCCCTTTTCAAAGAAGCTCTCCAGCGACGTTTGATTTTAACTCATTTTGGATAGGGTTAGCTTGTGGGCCTACCAAAACTGTGACTGAGACAAGTGAGCAGTGCGGGAAAGAGGCGCGGACGGAAGTGATAAATAATAAAATAATGGGCGGGCCACGCGCGGACTCACCGCTCACCTCCTTGCTGTGCGGCCCGGGCCACGGCCTGGGGGTTGGGGACCCCTGTTCTAGAGGGTGTTTGGCCTACTCTTCCACGCTGCTGGGTGGATAGAGGTGGGGCGGTCGGGGTAGATTTAATAAACTTTCACCATTGTTTTAACTGCCGCACGGAGAGATCAAACCAAGGTTGAATCGAACTGTCGATCTTGGGATTGCAAGTCCAGTAAGTTCAGTGTGCTAATAACAACACCGTGGAAATTAAAACGTGTCAACGCTATCCCTGAAAATTTGCAGTGTTGGTGTCCCGTTCAACGCTGAATCTCGCAAGCGGCTTGGCGTTCATTTTCTTCAGAGAGGTGTAGCGCCGTTGATTTTAAAGAAATCGCACTCACCATGGAGAACCATAGCGACACGACTGCCGCTCTCTACGTCGTGCTACACGTCATCGGAATGGAATTGGAAGAAAACCCGATGACGTACGGCATTGGAATGGGAAGAGGTAAAAGGGACACGGGTAAATCAAGCGAGGGACGACGGGGTTCAGGCACCTCCACGAAGATAAAGCACGGGATGATGGAGTTGCTCCGTTGAACATCGGGCGCGTCTTTCGGCATGATGTCAGCAAGTCGTCCCGCTCACCCGCCAATCCTTAACAACAACAAACACCACAGTTGATTACCTTCCCTCTGATGTCTTTAATGTGGTACTGACTTCCATATATATAATATATCAGTATATAAATAAATAGAATTTGAAAATTGCAGCTGAATTATGTGTGTTGTAATTGCCACAGCAGTACTGCGAGTCACAGGCTGTAACTTTTAACAACACTAAACATTTTAAAACTAAATATGAATAATTTAATTGAGCAACTTTTGACAATCCACTGCTGAACGAAGGTCTCTACTACACCCTGATGGTCGTGGGCGTTGTTTTTACCATACTTCACCACGCTGGTCAGTGAGAGTTGGTGAAGATGGTTGGCTATGGGATTTGTCCAGGACCATTTTGCAGTTTACTTATCACTCGGCCACTGATGCTAGCCGTGACTGAGACTCAGGCAATGATCGCCAAATTCATAGCGCTGACCATGCCAATCACTGCGCCACTGCTCCAGCCCTACAGGTTAATGCATGCAGTATGAAACAAGTTAGCTCATTCTGTAAATTCATGAAGATCGGACACAACATTTTGGACTTATTAAGAAGGCCCACATTTTCTTGTATTCATAATTTACATGCATGCATTATGGTCAAGTACAACTTTTAAGAACGGCTTCTTGCCATTAGCAAGATTCAACTCTTTAAATCAGACACCATTAAGAGTGTGTAGTGTTTCATCAAACGTGCTGCAATTAAATAGACGAATTACAAGGTAACTTAGTTGTGCACATTTAAGCAATGCGGGTAAGAAGCGAAGGCAGATTTAATTTGAATTAACTGCTTGCTTGTTGAATTAAGTTGCCCAGTCAATCATATGACACAGTTGTTCACGTACAATATTGTGTGTGCGTGTTAGTGCCATTGTGAACTTTGTTCACTATATAAAGCTAAACATATAGACACACACACACACAGAGACCTGGTCGAGTTTGAAAAGACTAATGGAGGAAAGTTACGTTCAAAAATAATGAGAGCAATGCCATGCTGAGTGTCAATACTAATTTTCAGGAGGATTCTACTCCATTGGGATGCTTGGCCGATTTGGTTCCCCCAAAAATAAATAGGCAGTTTTGGCTTCGCGTGTGAGAGGGGGCGACACTCAGCACCGCCACCTCCTGGTCAAATCCCCGTATCCACACACCGACAACTACTGGCAAGCCCTGCTGGAGGTGTTGGTGGTGGTGGTGATGATCTCTAATCCAAACACTCACCAGATTCGACCACTGTTCCTGCGTTGCTTGCAAGACCCTCTAAGTATTGGTAACTCGACTGTACATATTAAGGACTTGTTTGCGAGCGCCTATTCACATGACTCATCTGTTGCGAGGCAGCCTAATAGTTGAACGCGCAGTAGGCTTTCGCGACCAATGTTATTCATAATCAAGGGGTGTGGTGGGGGGGGGGGGTTTGAGTTAAATCGCGTAAATATGAATGTGTCGTGAACCCACCACCACCCGACGCGGCCAATCAGTAAGGTTCGTCACGTAGACAAAACGTGCCAATTAGTGACTTCAACACACACCGACAGTGTGTGTCGAGGTTCAGTAACTAGCCACGGAGCGTTTTCACGATTAAAATGCTGCCTTTGCAAATCGCGGCAAGCAACTGCAATTGTAAAAGGCAGCGAGTAGTAAGTACACGGATTGTCCGTCGGCGATGTTGTGCCAAGGAGCGCGCCTTGGAACAACAACAACAACATCGCCCTCCGACCGCTGCTTCATCAAATTCATCTCGCGTAGAGCCATCGCGTAAGGAGAGATCGACGTTTTGGCTTCAACGAAATAACAAAAACAAAACGCCGACCTGATTAAACAGAGACGGGCGTCGTGCGGACGCACTCGCTGGCAAAAAAAAAGAAACATTCGCACCGATGAATAATAAACGCATGCATGGTGTGAGATTGCTGCTAGTTATGACGGGGCTTTAAATGAATTAAAGGCTGCATCGGCGAGGAGCACAAACGACAAGAGAGTGTGTGTGTGTGGATGGGGGGGGGTGTTAGGTACCGCTCATCGTAGCTCGGCAGAGCGAGCGACAATCCCGACGAAGGGCTTGGCGTGCCCTTTCATTCATTATTAACACTGCACAATAATCCGGAGCGAAGCCAAAAAACATCAACTCGGGAGCGTGGGCACGAAGGTGCCCCGTCGAATTGCGCGCACGTGGCTGGAGCAACGAGCGTCAGACGACCAGCAGCAGCAGCAGCAGCATCATCATCATCAGCACCGAGATGAGGCCCAACGCGGCACGCAACACACGCATTCGAGCAACATCGTCGTTGGTCTCGAGCAGCACAATGCATGCAACCTGCTGGCTGATAGCGAACGCAACGGGCACGCGCGTGCGCGCGCGCGCGCGCGCGTACCCACGCGCATTCATCTACCCCCGCCGCTTGCATTCATTCCGACCCCTTCGTAGTAGCAGCAGCATCAGCAGCAGCAGCAAATACCGTCGTGGGGTTGTTGGGTCCTCGGCGGAGTGATGTGATCTCTCCGGTTGGTATCCAGTCCTCGCCCCACCCTCCCAGCAGAAGGGCTGCGTCTGCTGTGATGGAGGCACGTTTACCCGGCCATTTTCTATGCGAGGGCTGTAGCTGGGTGGATTTTTTTTCTGGAGAGCTCCCCCCTTTTCCAATTGCCAGCCACGTCTCCTCCCCCACTCCTCCTCCGTCTCTCCTCTCTCTCTCTCTCCACTGCCCCTTCCCACCCTCCTCCCCTCTGTCCGCTGTCGCTGCGTGCCCCTGATTTAGCGTTTACAGGCGTCCGTGGAGCCGCTGAACGTACAACACCCCGTCCGTCCACCCCACCCACCCCGACCACCTCCTCCCCCGAGCGAGAAAGGAGAAGCGAAAACAACCAAATATATAAATAGTAATTATATGTGTGTGGATAGAGAGAGAGAGAACACGGATGCAGAGGGATAGGGGCGGGGGGTGGTGGTGGTGGTGGTTCTTTCTTCGCGTGTGCCTGATGCTCTCTGCTTGCGCGAGGCGCCAGTCTTCGTGCTTTTGAGACCAAGGATTCACACACAATACTAATGGTTTTGGCGCTTTTCATCAAATTGCGAGCTGGTGCGTGTGAGGAGGAGTGGAATACCCCCCACCCCACCCCCATTGTGCTCGAAGGCCCCCAGCAAGCAACGCGTTCTCCGCTCGTAATGCAGAATTGGGTCCGTGGTTCGATTCCCGCAAGCCGGCCTGGTAACAATTTTTATATCTTTTTTTTGGTCCTGGGTAGTAAGTGTTATTTCCTAATTGTTTATGCCTCAAAAGTACAGAAAATGTTTATTATTCCCCACAAACTTTGCTTTTCTGACCAGGACATTGATTTATCTATTTTCCAGAACATTCCAGATAGATTCAGTGCTGAGTAAACTAGGAGTTACTTCTAGAACATTCTAGAATTTTCCACTAATATAAATAAGTAGTATATATACAGGGGCCTTAAGCCCACCAGTTCAGTTTATTTCCAGCTGCCTAAGTGGATACATATCTGCATTTTTCTGAGATAGCATCAAGAGGCTGCCAGCATCCGGCCGACGCATTTTGCTATATCTGTGGCCAATTAATCAAGACAAGAGCGAAAAAGTAGTCTGTGGAAGCATCTGCTAAGATGTGTGAGACCGACGAGGCATATTTCGGTATGCGAGCAATGCAAAAAAAAAACCTCTGGAAGGTTTGATGGACAATTGTTGCTCAAAATTTTATGTTATAAAATTTGTTAAAATTTGTAAAATTGTAAAAGTTTTTAACGTTAAAATGTTTTACAAATTTCAATGTTATTGAAAAAATATATCATATGTGAAAAATGTTTCGAGAATCTCTTACACATTAGTCATGGGTGGAATAAATGTATTTTTGTAGGATGGTACAGAGGGGAAAAGAGAACCATGAAGTTCACTATCCAAAGAATTTGGCAGCAACCCACTGACCACACAAGCAACTGCTACTTCTGCATGGTGGACCCTTCCCAACGTCGAACTGGCACCTGCTATCACGTATCCAGACCTTCCTTCATCATTTGTCCCGGTGCCACACTGCCATGAGCTCCCCGTACCCACGGAGAGAGAGCAGCAAGTCAGAGAGCGAGGAAGACGTTGTAGATCCAGATGACAATTTCAGAGGTGGAACTGAGGAGAGAAACCCATACTACTCCAATCAAAAAGACCTCAACGACGTGATCAGAGATCTTGGTTTCACCAAGTCCGATGCTGAGCTTTTGCCATTTAGGCTCAAGCAGTGGAACTTGCTGGATAAAAGTGTGCAAGTCGCAGATCAGAGGAAGTGTCACCAACCTGTTTGCAGCTTCTTCACCCGTAAAGATGGGCTCTGCTTCTGCCACAATGTGACCAGTCTGTTCGAGGCAATCGGAATCGCCTGTAACCAGAATGAGTGGCGCCCCTTCATTGACAGCTCATCCAGGTGCCTCAAAGCCGTGCTGCTCCATAATGGTAACAAGTGCCCGTCTCTTCCCCTGGCTCACTCAAGAGGATTACAACAGCATCAATACCTTGCTGGACGCCTTGAAGTATAATGAGTACGGCTGGGAGGTCATCAGAGACTTCAAAATGGCAGCATTCCTGATGGGTCTCCAAGGCACTACCACAGGCGGGACTGGCCACAGCGGACCGAGTTCTCTGTGGGTAGAAACAACGTCAAGTGGGAGCTACTGGTGGACCCCCGGCAGGTGCTGATGCCACCACTGCACATCAAATGGGGCCTTATGAAACAACTTATCAGAGCTTTAGATAAGGAGTCAGCAGCCTTCAAGTACCATCAAGACTTCTTCCCTAAGCTGTCTGAGGCAAAGGTCAAAGCCAGTGTCTTCGTCGGACCACAGATAAAGAAGATCCTGGAGTGCAATGAATTCCCCAAGAAGCTCACTAGTAAGGAGAAAGCGGCTTGGAACAGCTTTGTCGCAGTGGTTCGTGGCTTCCTGGGCAATCACAAGGTCGAAAACTATGTGGAGCTGAAGGGAAACAATAAAATAATAAAATATATATAAAAACGTCGTGAGAATGTGTATTGTTTTATATATATTTTATTATTTTATTGTTTCCCTTCAACGTGACTTTACCGAAAGAACTAAGAATATGAATTACTGCAGTCACGAAAGCTTTGAATCAAAAATATGTGGAGCTGGTTGAGACTCTGGTGAAGAACTACGGCATAATGGACTGAAGGCTGTCCCTCAAAGTCCATATCCTTGATGCTTATCTTGATAAATTCAAGGAGAACATGGCAGCGTACTTGGAGGAGCAAGGCGAGTGCTTCCACCAGGATATACTGGACTTTGAACGCCGCTTACCAAGGACAGTATAACGAGAACATGATAGGAGACTACATTTGGGTACTGATTCGTGAAAGTGATTTACAGTATAATCGTAAATCTTGAAAAACTACTCACTTCTAAATCTTTTGTAGTAATTCTTGTACTACTTTAGTATAAATACATGTACATTTTGATTCATGTTGGGTTTTCTCTGACTTTATGTGAATCAAAAGACAAAGTCGCACGTTTTCTCATTGAAAATAGGCAAATTTCTAAATATCACTGTCCTGGTCACAAAAGCAAAGTTTGTGGGAAATAATAGCCATTTTCTATACTTTTTAGGCATAAGCAATCACGAAATAACACTTATGATACCCATGAACAAAAATTGTGTTACATAGTGTTATTACTGCTATGTGTATTGATTAACCGTTAAATTCGAAAACCAAAACCATACCCCCACCACCATTGTGGCATAGCTTAGCGATAGCGCGTTTGCCGTTTCTTCTTCTTGTTGTTGCAGAGGTCCGCGGTTCGAATCCGACAAGCCGCCCTGGTTATTACTGCCGAATGTAATAACCGTTACATTCGAAAGCCAAAGTACGGTGTACCCAGTTGCGATAACCATGACACTGCGGCAACACTCCTCAAACATGGTCCAGCCAGCGAGAGTGCATTCGCCACTTATTGCCGAATGTTTTTTTTTGCTTGCGGTTTGAATCCGTCAGGCTGCCCCCTGTTGATTATTTGCCGGATGTGTTAACCATTACATTGGAAAAGTAAAGTATACCCCCACATCCCCCCACCCCAGTGATCCAGCGGTAAGTCGTTAGCTGATTGTTGCGGTGATTTGCGGTTCAATTCCCATAGGCCACCCTTGTCATTACCGTAAAAAAAAGCACCACCTGTTTTATTTTTTTTACAGTGGACGTCGATTCCCCTGACGTCATTCGATATGAGACAGGACATTGCGCGCAGGCAATACGGGTCCAGCATTTTTGCCAACTGAGAAAAAATCCACCACTTTGGCATGACACAGAACAGCATCACCGCACTGCGAATTTACCGCAGACTGTGTCTGTGAATCACGGCGCTCTCGTGGTATCCTCGGCCTACAACAATGGCGCGATTAACAACCGTACTACATTCTAATTGTCATGCAAATTATAATCCGTCCCCACCCCCCTCCCCACCGCATCTCCATGCCGTGCGTGGCTTGTGTTTGACCCACTGACGGTCCAACGGGTCTCATTGTCTCGTCCCAAACCCGCGCCCGCAAACTTCCCATGGCACAAAAAATGCGAAATCCGATTATGTTTCTAGATGATATGCGTGTTCGTTGTTTTACGTAAATATATCTCACTGTACTGTGATCTTCCCGCATTTTGTCAACAAAAAAATTTAAAGGTGCAGCCACATGCCGACGTCGCTTGCTCACTCTACTGCTGACAGTGGAGCCTCTACAGAGGGGGAGTACCAGAGGGAATCCTCTAAAGCAGGGGTGGAGAACGTCCGGCCCGCGGGCCGTATGAGGCCCGCGAAATCATTTGGTCTCTGGCCCTGCCAAAGCAACCACAGGCGGAACTCGAAATTCAATAAATCTCGGAGCAAACCTGGAAAATCAGTTGCGAGTAGCAACATCGTCAATACCAGCTAACATCATCACACGCCTCGCCAAAGAGAAGTAGTTCCAGACATCGCATTAGCGGCAAGTTAATTACATGTTTCGTCAAATATAACAGGCTAATTTTTAAGTTGATAATTGTGTATGGCCCGCGAATTATGTTATAAATATCCAAATGGCCCTTGGCAGAAAAAAAAGGTTCCCCACCCCTGCTCTTCAGGGTGTGTGTGGGCTACTCTTCAAATGAAAGGTAACCAGTAGTGTGGCTGTTAGCGTGCTGGGCTACAAACCCGGCGACCCGAGTTCGATTCCCGCTCACGGCCAACACCGGTGACGATTATCTTAACCGATCCTGCGCCTCCCCTAGGTCGGCACAGCCTCAAAATGAGTACCTGGTGCGGTTTGTAAACATCGCCACTGGGGAGACAAAGGCGGTCCGGCGTGGTGCTGGCCACCCACCCCCTCGTGCACCGTCCCGTACCGTCATAGGTGATCGCTAACAGCACTTGCCCCAATAGTCTATTAAAGGCTATACGGGGGATCTTTGTCTTTGCTACTCTTCAAATGAAGGTCCTCCAGTAGAGGGAGCTCCACAAGAAGGTACACAGTATATTGGCCGCGGTTACCAGACATCCAAGATGTGGGAATAGGCTCCCGACACTGGGGAGTGGGATACCCACACTCTGTGCCCCACTACACACGCGACCATTTATACTGGGTTTTTTTTTTTGGGGGGGGGGGGGGAGGGGCTGTGTTGATCGACATTCAAGAGGACGTCTACTCAGGAGATGGAATGATGCAATCAT